CCCCCTCTCCCTCTCTCTCTCTCTCTCTCGCTCTCTCTCTCTCTCTCTCTCTCTCTCTCTCTCTCTCTCTCTCCCTCTCCCTCAGGCTGGAGTGAAGGGTAAATTAGGACGTTTGCTCGGTGTGTTTGAGGTAAGGCTCTTCTCTCTCTCCTGATTGGATGGTTGAGACTCCTGAATGGATGCATCATGAGATGAGGCGATTACAGTCCCTCTTACTGAAAGAGTTTATTTTTCAACAACAGCAGAACCAGGACCGGAAACACCGGACGTACGTGTATGTTCTGACGGTCACAGAGACACTGGATGCCTGGGAGGACTCGGTCAATATTGGTGAGTTTGTGTGTGTTTGTGTGCTGCTTCTTTTGTGATGGATCTGAAGGTATTTAGCCCTCGGGGTCTCATGATTGTTCAGCTATTTCCTGACTGCATGTATATTATACACACACACACGCACACACACACTGTCTGAGTCCACAAGTGAAAATGCCTCTATTTGCATGTGTTTTTAAATGTAATGATTTTTTTTTTAAATTTAATTTAATTCATATATTTATTGCAAAAATATAAATGATAACAGAATCTATACAGGATATATTTTTCAACTGCCTTCTTACCCCCCATTAATAAAATTAAATTCAGTTCAGTTCAATTGAATTCAATTTAACTATATCTTTAAAAAAACAAGAAAATAGACATATATATTTAATGGCCTTCCCATCCTTTCCCTGCTCCCTTAATTTATATTTTTATGTAATTAAATTTTATTTTATAATTTAATTGAAAACATATCATTATTGCAAAAATGTGAAAGATAAGAACATTTTAAAAAAATAGAAAAAAACTCAATATACATATATTTTTAACTGCTTTCCCAACATTTCCTGCTACCTAAAATGTATTTTTCTTTACATTTATTTAATTTGATTTTTTAATTTAATTTAAATCATATCTTTATTGCAAAAATATGAAGGATAACAAAATGTACATTTTTTTTAACTGCCCTCCCACTTCAATTCAATTCAACCTTATCGTTATTGCAAAAATATGAAAGATTACAAGAAAATCTCAAAAACAGTAAAGAAAATAAATTATACATTATTTTTAAGTGCTTTCCCATCCTCCCCTTTAAACTCAATTCAAATTTCAAAATATGAAAGATAAAAAGAAAATCTCCATAAAAATGTAACCCCCTTAAATTTAAAATTTTTTTTTTAGATTTTATTTTATTCCAGTGTATTATTTAATTGTATTTAATTTCATTTTAAAACGTAATTAATTAAATAATAAACCACTATTGCATGATGATAATCCATGTTTTAAGAAAGTTTTAAGACCCCACAATATATTTATTCATAATATTCTAATACTTACAGTCTTTGCAGTGTATTTTGCTCATGCTGCAGTATTTGTCCCGTAGGCCGGAAGCGCGAGTGGTTTCCCGTCGATGAGGCCATCAAGGTCCTGCAGAGCCACAAACCTGTTCATGCCGAGTACCTGAGACGCCTGCGGATCAGTCGCCCATCCAGCACCACCAACGGCAACCTGCTCCTGCCCCAGACATCTCCCAGCACCCTCACACCGTTCTTCAGTGCTCCGGCGTCAGCCGCACGCAGATAGGACACACACACACTCAGTACAGCACACACACGTCTACATGAACCACCCACACACATCTCCAGGGCCTTTATGACCCTCACAGCACCTCTTAGGCACCTTTGGGACGTTCTTTAGAGGGACAAACCAAAGTCGTGTGGGATTTCCGGTGAAGAATGCCTTAACCATTTATTTTTGAAGTCGGTTACTGTCGGCTGATAGGTTTTAGTTGTTGTAATGGAATAATAATTATTGACCAGCTTTACATAGCAGTTACATGGAAGTGCACTTCCATTATTTCTCCATCACACTCACCCGCAGAGTTTGGCATTCTGGGATTGTGACGTAGGGAATGTCAGTTTCATTCCACGTGGCTTTATCAGCGTTTGACCTCTGAATTCAGTCCGTTAGCGCTGTCGTGACCCCAGACTTCCCTTTAAGACTCAGACGAACCCTTTAAAAGCCCCCTTCACTGCTGCTCCTGACCGGATAACTGGATTCCTGAAAGCATCAGAGATTCCGGTCGATGAGATTTCTGGGAATTGGTTGGTGAGCAGGAGAGTCGTAATCTCATTTTATGCTTTGATTAAAAAACAAACGTTTGTAAATATACTAAAAGACTGAAGATGACAAATGATGTATGATGGTTTTTAACTAAAATGCAAATGTATTAATCTTTTCTGCTCGTAACTCTTTCTATGAGGTCTTTCTTTAGGTGATTTTGAAAAGAGAACAGAACTGTGAATTTTGTCAGAGAAAAAAAATAAATGCTAACGGGTAAATCTCATGGAACTGGTCAAGAACATGCACAGGTCATATTTCAGTACAAAAATTTTATGTATATATATATATATATATATATATATATATATATATATAAATATTTAAAGATAAAGCACTCTTGAATTTTTATGACACGTTTTCCTATATTGTTATTACTATAGTGCACAATGAATGATGTATTATTTAAATTATATTGTATTTATACATTGTGGTATTATTTGTTTTATTGCCCTTAATTCATGCTTATTTAATTTTAAAAAATATTTTGTACTGTAAATACTGTATTACAGTAATTAACATCTAATAAGTATAACAATGAAAAATGGAAACTAAGATCACAAAGAAAAAATCTAAGTGGTCACTGAAATAGTCTTCATTTTCCTTATTAAAAAATTATATATATATATATATATATATATAAATTTAAAGAAGATGAAATATAAAAAAAAAGAAATCATTAAAATAGTTTTTTTTCATTTTCTTGATGCAAAAAAATATATTTATATCTTTATAGATCACAATATAAAAAAATTGAAATGGTCATTAAAAAGGCTACATAAAAAAAATTACTTAAAAAAAAAAAAATATATATATATATATATATATAAATATAAAAATGGTTGAATATATATAAAATGAAATATGAGCTGTAAATGTTTCGTGAGATGAACCCAAATGAATCTTTGGCACCAGCAAAGCCTTGAATATCTGTCAGATGTGAGGATTGGGTGCCTTTTTCCTTTTTTAAAACGTTTAACAACACATTGTACTGTCATTGGTTTTTGTTTGAAACACTGATGCACATTTGCTGATGGCTGCTGCTCTGAATGCATCTCTCCAGTGGCTGTGAGTGGGCTGATCTCAGATCTGCTGTAATCACACTGAACCCCAACACGTCCCTCCAGCTCATGTTTAGTTTGTGTGTGCTTGCGGATATGTTTTGATGTGTGAAAACGAACAGGTCAGTGCCAGTCGTTCATTTGGATTGAGCGGATGTACAAATAACACTTTCCTTTAGATTACACTAAGATGTGAAGTGTCAACAGCAAAACTAACTAAATGTACATTTCCTAAAACATTTGGACTATGTCCTTTAGTAAAACAACAGGAGTGTTATGGTGAAGTTATTTGCCACACGAGATGTACAGTCTAATATCTCGGGTTTTCACAATGAATTCTGATACTTTGTGAGGCGTGAACTGTAAACTGCATTAGGCCTGAGGAGTGTTTTAATAGATTTACAGGTTTGAGAGTCAGATTAACTGTCTCTTACCTGTTCTGAGATGCCAACGGGTCCACAGTTTCTGTGTGTTTACTGTAATCTGTACAGATGTTCATAATGGGTATTTTTATTTGTCAATAAAGATTGTATCACAAGAAAGAATTGTGAATTGTGATGAATTATGATGACAAATAATGCCAATTTCTAATCATTCATCTGCCATCTTAAAACCTTGTAGGGTATAATAATATATACAGTGGGGAAAAAAAGTATTTAGTCAGCCACCAATTGTGCAAGTTCTCCCACTTAACACACCAACTGATTTCACTTTTTTACAGCAATGAGTTAAAATTGTGGAAAATGAACGTCTTATCCTCGCCTATTTATAATAAGCCTATTTACAAATTGTTACAAATAAATACATATAGAAATGAATGAGTTTGCCATAATTTCTAGCAAAATGCAATCAATAAAACTGTAGTGCCATATTAGTCAGGCACTGTCGTACAGAAGAATGTTATTCTGCTTTTTACATTGATTTGCAAAAATAATTAATTTATTATGGTTTTACAGTAGTAAAATGAAATAGTATTTTGGCGGGAATTATCATACCATGGTGAATCAGCTCTGTGGTAGCGGAACCAAATGTCATCGCGCTGCAGCGCACCGGAAGGCTGTGAGTGTAACACAGAGTTCCCCAGCAGACAGCTTTGCGGGGCCCATGTGGATCTGGCAGACCCGAGCGAAACAGCGGCTTAAAAATCCCCGAATCAAGCCGATCTTTCACGCTAATGCGAGCTCTTTAGGTCATCCGTGTGTGTGAACTAGTGAAGATGCTGAAGGAGGCGTTAGACGGGCAGCTTACAGCGCTTTATAACGCGGTCGCCGGTGAGTGTGACAGTAATGATGAGACACAGCAGATCTGCATCCTCCTGCTGACACGCACTCATCTGGACACATCACACTTTATACTGGACAGATTTCTCACAGTCACATGTTGTGTGGTCATGCTCTATCGCTGACATTAATCATGTCGAGCTGAGATGAATGAAGACACGGTTAGAAACAAATGATCACCCTTTCTGTCACCAAACTTCTGGACGTTTGTTTTAGATTGATTTGAATTTATGTAAAGAGAAGTTCTGTCTAAAACACTTGTCTAAAAATAGAGTGAAAACAAAGTAAAAAGTAATCTTGCTTTTGAAAAACGGACATATGTCATTTAGAGCAAATGTAATAATAAGCATAATAAATAACAATAATTATTTTGTTAATAGAATAAATCATTTCAGTTATTAAAATTGTTGAAAGCAGTTGTGCTGCTTCATTATTCTTATATATATATGTATATATATGTTTTATATATAATATTTATCTGTAATTTTAACACTGTTATGTTGGGGTGGGGGGGGGAAAAGCTTTAAATTATAAGTAAAAAAAAATAATAATAAAGTGCTAAATAAAATGAATATAATTTATGTATTGAAATGACCTTCAATATTGTGTTTTGTTTTTGTTTTTTTGTCCCGTACAAGCAAATACTGTTTATGCGATGGATTTTTGCCTCGTGTCTTTGTCTCAGCCTCAGAGCAGGTTCAGGTTGAGCCGGTGGGTCGCTGGTTCGAGGCGTTTCTGAAGCGCAGGACCAGAAATGTGTCGGCCTCGTTTCAAGAGCTGGAGGAAGAGGAGCAGCTATCTGAGGAAGAGGAGGATGAGGAGCTGCAGCTGGAGGAGTATCCCATGCTAAAGACACTGGACCCCAAAGACTGGAAGGTGTGTGTCGAGACTGCGATCTGTGTCAGAGCCGTGAGACTCTGAACTGAATGCATTGACACGCTTCTCTTGACCTTACAGAACCAAGATCACTACGCTGTTTTAGGTCTCGCACACATCCGGTACAAAGCAACCCAGAAACAGATCAAAGCTGCTCGTAAGTTTGACTTTGTGTGTGTTTGGACATCTTTGTACAATAATGGTCAATAGTTTGTAATTACAATTTTAGTTTTTATGTTTATGAAAGAAGTCTCTTCTGCTCACCAAGGCTGCTTTTATTTGATCAAAAATACTGTAAAAATTGTGAAATATTATTACGAGTTAAAATAACTGTTTTCTTTGTGAATATATTGTGAAATGTAATGTATTTCTGTGATGCGCAGCTGAATTTTCAGCATCATTACTCCAGTCTTCAGTGTCACATGATCTTCAGAAATCAGTATAATATGCTGATCTGCTGCTCAAGAAACATTTCTGATTATTAGCAATGTTGAAAATTTGTTGAATTTTTGTGGAAAAAAATATTTTAAGGATTTGTTGATGAATAGAAAGATCAAAAGAACAGAATTGATTTGAAATAGAAATCTTTTGAAACATTAAAAATGTATTTACAGTCACTTTTGATCAATTTTATGCATCCTCGATAAATAAAAGCATTAATTTCTTTAAAAAAAAAAAAAACTTTCTGAAAGAAATTAATGCTTTTATTTATCGAGGATGCATAAAATTGATCAAAAGTGACTGTAAATACATTTTTAATGTTTCAAAAGATTTCTATTTCAAATCAATTCTGTTCTTTTGATCTTTCTATTCATCAACAAATCCTTAAAATATTTTTTTCCACAAAAATTCAACAAATTTTCAACATTGCTAATAATCAGAAATGTTTCTTGAGCAGCAAATCAGCATATTATACTGATTTCTGAAGATCATGTGACACTGAAGACTGGAGTAATGATGCTGAAAATTCAGCTGCGCATCACAGAAATACATTACATTTCACAATATATTCACAAAGAAAACAGTTATTTTAACTCGTAATAATATTTCACAATTTTTACAGTATTTTTGATCAAATAAAAGCAGCCTTGGTGAGCAGAAGAGACTTCTTTCATAAACATAAAAACTAAAATTGTAATTACAAACTATTGACCATTATTGTACAAAGATGTCCAAACACACACAAAGTCAAACTTACGAGCAGCTTTGATCTGTTTCTGGGTTGCTTTGTACCGGATGTGTGCGAGACCTAAAACAGCGTAGTGATCTTGGTTCTGTAAGGTCAAGAGAAGCGTGTCAATGCATTCAGTTCAGAGTCTCACGGCTCTGACACAGATCGCAGTCTCGACACACACACCTTCCAGTCTTTGGGGTCCAGTGTCTTTAGCATGGGATACTCCTCCAGCTGCAGCTCCTCATCCTCCTCTTCCTCAGATAGCTGCTCCTCTTCCTCCAGCTCTTGAAACGAGGCCGACACATTTCTGGTCCTGCGCTTCAGAAACGCCTCGAACCAGCGACCCACCGGCTCAACCTGAACCTGCTCTGAGGCTGAGACAAAGACACGAGGCAAAAATCCATCGCATAAACAGTATTTGCTTGTACGGGACAAAAAAACAAAAACAAAACACAATATTGAAGGTCATTTCAATACATAAATTATATTCATTTTATTTAGCACTTTATTATTATTTTTTTTAACTTATAATTTAAAGCTTTTTCCCCCCCCACCCCAACATAACAGTGTTAAAATTACAGATAAATATTATATATAAAACATATATATACATATATATATAAGAATAATGAAGCAGCACAACTGCTTTCAACAATTTTAATAACTGAAATGATTTATTCTATTAACAAAATAATTATTGTTATTTATTATGCTTATTATTACATTTGCTCTAAATGACATATGTCCGTTTTTCAAAAGCAAGATTACTTTTTACTTTGTTTTCACTCTATTTTTAGACAAGTGTTTTAGACAGAACTTCTCTTTACATAAATTCAAATCAATCTAAAACAAACGTCCAGAAGTTTGGTGACAGAAAGGGTGATCATTTGTTTC